TAAAACATTAACATTTATGCACTTTTCTAAACACTAGAGTGGGCAAATCAGTGTTGTGCATTTATAACAGTTATTTTTTCTTATTTTTTTCCAGGGGATGTGGAGCTGGATATTGAATTACTCTATAAAGCTGTTCCTCAGCTGGCCAAGGTTTTTCACATCATAGACAAAATTGGAGAGGGTAAATGTTCTGCATAGCGTTATCCACACTTTTGCCTAAGATTTACACAGGAGTTGCTTATTCACCTCAGTGGATTTACTGGAGGAGCAGAGATGACCTGTTTGTGTATTAGGTACGTTCAGCTCAGTGTACCTGGGTCAGGCTCAGATGCGAGATGGGACCAAGGAGTTGTTTGCCCTGAAGCACCTCATCCCAACCAGCCATCCTACACGCATCGCTGCTGAGCTTCAGTGTCTCACTGTTGCTGGGTGAGTCTAATAATTCTGTGCACATATGGGATACTTAATTGTGCCTGTTGACTGTCACACAAACCTTTTGAAGAAATTAACAGCTAATACTTTTAAGTCACATTTTGAAACATGTATAGACTTTGCTTCAGATATTCTTAATGTTGTGGTTTACTTTTTAGTCTAATTTTTGTCTCTTTAAACTCCTGATTATGATTCCACTTACCTTATATGTCTTGCTGTTTCTGTTTTTACACTGTTATTGGGCAGTAGAACTAAAATATTGTCAACAGTTAGTTCAAAAGTAGTTTCATGGGAGTTTGCTGTCCTGTTTTTCTGTCATTCTGCCTAGTAAATATTCCTCTCTATAGATATTCCTTGCCAATATTTGGCTGTTTAAGCCCACTAGAAATACCTATGTACTGCAGTGAGAGGCTAAAGAGTTTTCTACTTGTGACAGATGTGTTCCAGTACTGATACATACTATATACAGTAAGAGTTGCTCACAAACTCAGATAAAAGGTGAATTAAAAGACCCTTTTTCATCATAACAGTTTAATCTCTTTTCTTAAAGGTTTGTTTTATGCTGTAGTAAATTGGTGTGTGGCCTTCTCATTTGTCTAGCACTGCATGATTCAGCTGAACCTGTGCACTATAATGCATTGATGGCTGGTTGGGCAAGATGTGCAACATTATGCATACCCATTTCATGTATGAATGTGTATTTATGCATGATTCGTGTTTTTCTTACTTTTGGAAGTGATTGTGGAAGAGATTGACATAATCACTTGCAGAGAAAACCCATTGAAATGAATCCTTTCATCTCACTTTGTGTTTTTGCTTGATTACAGAGGCAGAGAGAATGTGATGGGGGTGGCATACTGCTTCAGGAAGGACGACCATGTTGTGATTGTAATGCCCTACATGGAGCATCAAGCTATTGTGGTGCGTATCTTGTGACAAGTTAGTTTCTATGTGGCTGCTGCTTTTCAGTGACGTTTTTGCATGAATAGTCTGTGCTGTATCCCCAGAACAGCAATCAGGTAGTAGAATGCTTGATATAGTTTTTCTTTCGCTGTCGTGTAATTGAAAACCTTTCCTCCAATCACAATGTATTTTTCAGGATGTTATTGGCTCATTGAGCTTTGAAGAGGTCCGTCTGTACATCTACCACTTGTTGAAGGCGCTAAGACACATCCACCAGTTTGGTATCATTCACCGAGACATCAAACCAAATAATTTCCTCTATAACAGGAAGAGCAAATTGTGAGTACCAGTACTATCAGTACATTTCCAAGTGTTGATAAGCAAAAGTGTCTATTTTGTGTCAACATTTGGCATTTAATCTTGTAAGCTCCACTAGGACACCCTCATCCTCTTGTTCACCCTTGCTCCCTTTCCTCTCCTTGCTGTGTTGCAACCTTCAGTATTAAAAAAAAAATAGGGAAACCTACTGATTACTGAAATACTACTACATGTCCATGTTTAATAAGGTGCTATGACATAGTGGCAAATGAGAGTATAGGAACATCCTAGCAGAGTTTACAAGGTTAATCCTCTTCCCAGGGTAGATGGGGTGTGAGATTATACAGACGGGAGTTATAAGGCCAGTTTGTTTTTGCTGTGGAAGTGCTGAATAGGCACAGAACACCAAAAAGCACTCATTCATTTCCCTGTTTAAAATGTGTGTTGTAGGTATGCACTGGTGGACTTTGGCCTGGCTCAGGGTACAGCGGACACCCAGATTGAGCTGCTGAAGGTGGTGAGGCAGAGGCCGTCACACAAAGGTGGAGGGTCTACAGGGAAACAAGACACTGCACAGCGAAGCAAAGCACTACCTAGACTCCTTCCCAAAACCACAACCACCACCACCAAAGTCTCCACCTCACAACCTCTGCATCCACAGCAGTCCACAGCTTTTCCACATCCCTCCTCCCCTTCTTCCGCCACCACATCTTCCTCAGCCTCTCAGAAAGCACTGGTTAAAAGAGCACATTCTGCCACTGCCACCTCCACCTATCGCACAAAGCACACAAAGGTGTCTGCACCGAGTTGATATTTTTATACTGACTAGTCTTTAAGTCTTTTCTTTGTCCATTGAGAGGAGAAATGTACAGTCAGCATGTGTATTTAAAGTTCAGTGGGTTTTTATCACAAGCCTGAAGCAGAGCAAAGGATTTCCTGGATGGCCATTTTAAGTATCATTAATTTGTTAGTGTTGTGTTCTCTGCAGTGGTATGTTGTCTTAGCTAAATTCTGCCATCCATGTGTGTTTGCTGTAGGATTTGACAGGACTATGCAAAGTGCCTCGGCCTGTGTTTGGAGAGAGGAACCTGAACAACTACACTGCGGCTCCCTCTTCCACCAAACAAGCTGCTATTCATACAGAGGTAAGGTTTTGGAAGGTCTCTCTTCATGGAACAGAGTGACCACCTACACATACCAAATACTTACCGGTATTAAAATGTTAGCTATCTGATGTGCATTTAAAACATCAATGTTTTTAGTAATTTAGTTAAGATGACTTACAAAAAGTATAAAACACGTCAATGTAGTAGCAATGATCTGACTATCGGCTTATTTGAAGAATTGTCGCCCCTAAATTTAAGTACTCAGTGATGGTTGTAAGACAGACGGTTTTGTAGTCATGTATTTTTCCTTTATAAAATCTCTATTTTGATTTGTTCAGCTGGTAAAGCCCGCCAAAACGCAGGATCCAGTTGGCCGAAGGCCCTCTGCAGCCAGCCGGGCCCCCCTGCCTGTTAGGACTCAGAGTAGCAGTCAGAAACCTGTGAGGACCATACAGCAGGACCTCACCTGCAACTGCTACTTTACTGAACGTGTCTGCAACATCTGCATGTCCAGGTAACAGAATAACTTTATTTACAATAGGAATTCAAAAAAAGACACACATATGGTACCAGTCAAAGGTTTGGACACACTTTTCCATCGATTTGGATGAGAAAGTGTGTCCCGGTGTACAGGTACCATCAGGTAACTAAAATAAAATTCTTGTTCTAAGCAACTGACTTTAAAACAGTGCAATGAAAACTGTTATGTGAGAATATTTGATTTCTATTTTGTGTATTGTTTTGAACAAATGCCTCTTCACTGTCCATGTTTTTCATTGAAGGAAGCAACAGGTGGCACCACGGGCTGGGACACCAGGCTTCAGAGCACCAGAAGTTCTCACAAAGTGTCCAAACCAAGGAACAGGTCGGTGTCGCACACCTTTAGTGCTCATAGTCTTCTGCTGCTATAGCATTGTGTGTGTCTGTTGTTAGTATTTGAGGGGTTTTTTTCACTGTCACTGGTGATCAGGCATGTCTTACATTCTTTTGTAGTCATACACTAAAGCAAGTGAAGCAGAGCTCTTCCTACCCTCTCACTGTCACTAATGTTGCATTGTCTTCCTGTACTGCAGCCATAGATGTGTGGTCAGCTGGAGTGATCCTGCTGTCATTGCTCAGCGGCCGTTATCCATTCTTCAAAGCCAGCGACGACATGATCGCGCTCACTCAGATCATGACCATACGTGGCTCCAGAGAGACCATCCAGGCTGCTAAGGCTTTTGGTTTGTATTGTTTTTGTTTTGTTTTGTTTTTTTACACCAAAAACAGATGCGTCAGTAATAGTGCCGTGACTGAATAGTATCACTGTAGGAGGACTGAATTCATCTGCACTGTGGTGTATGGAGGGCTCTGTATAGACATTAAACATGGTTTTGGTTTGAACCCCCATGTCCAGGTAAAGCGGTGGTGTGCAGTCGGGAGCTGCCTCGACAGGACCTCAGGACACTGTGTGAGACGCTGAGAGGACGAAAACTTGTGCCAGATGACGTCACACCACTTCCTGAAGCAAACAGAAACTCCACTCTCACCCTCCATTGTAAAATCCAAGATGACACACCAACACACTGCCCCACTGAAGGAACATTCAGGCAGCACTCAGCTGGAGCAGGTGAAACTTCTTTGCCTCACTCTTCTAGTCTTCAAAAACACCAGGAGCTCTCAAGGAGCAAAGGAACCTCCAATGGCCTTGCTAAGCAGAGCTCAGAGAGGGGCTGCAAAGTGGAGGAAGACAAGTCCTGACACAGCCTATGACCTGCTGGACCGGCTGCTGGACCTGAACCCTACCACCAGGATTACAGCCGCTCAGGCCCTACAGCACCCACTCTTTAGAGACTTGTGAAACTGAACCAGGAGCCTCATCACTGCTGTGGTCCACATTTAGAGATGTGGTACTACCACATCTCACCTGAACAAAATGATGTGGTATCATTCTGTGGGGGGGGAAGAAGTTTTCTCCCTTTTGTGTCTGTTCAGTGCTTTTAAGACTTGAATGTAAATAATGTGCAGGCTTGGCTTGATGTGATGGTTCAGGGACCTGCAGTTAAGAGTTGGTGATTTTTATGGCAGCTATGGTGTAAATGAGAATATTGTGAGAAGGGGAATTGAATTGAGGTGTTGACTTTATGTTGACTGTTGTCAGTGGGTGAACAGTCTTAAATAGAGACAGACATTTTATTTTCCTTAGTCTGAATCTTGTCTTGTAAATAGGGAATTGTCAGTGTTTACTATTGTTACCACTGCAGTAACCCCCCTTATTAATGCTGTGTACTGAGTGCATATGAATTCCATCTGTATATTGTGAAGGATGCCGTTTTAGCTGTGAATATTTATACCACTAAAACTGTACAGTCTGCTTCACTCTACTTAGGATTTTGTAATAAAGAAGAAAAAAAAACAGGCTGCAGTTTACTGTATGCAAAGCACTGTAATTCACACTAAAATTACTTGGAATTATACAAATAATTATAAATTCAAATGTAGGAGTTGTTTTAAGATATAGGCAAAATAATTAGTAAAATTGTACTGTCGTTATTACTTAGGCTTGAACTTAATACCTTCTTCATAAACATTCCAAGTCATAGACATATCCAGAATATACCAAAACACATTTTTACCTAAGAAAATAATGCTTGAACAAACAGTACAGCATTTAACTGTGTAGAAAAGTTTGAAAATTTATTACAGAAGCAACGCAAACTTCCCTGCCATTATTTAGATGTTTTATAGACATTGTATGCAACATTTTACAATGACACTCAACTCTAAACAGACTTTCTGAAAGTAACTTCAAACCTGTGACATATGAAGAAAATTAACACAGCAGTTGATAAACTTTGAAATGATGCATCCTCATCTGATGTAGTTGGAAACAAAACAGATCAGCAGAACCGCTGAAGGCTTTTTTTGGTTTGCTACACCCTAAGATGTGAGAACACCTGGTGGTTGAACTTGGTCTAAATGTTTTCCTTGACTTCAGTGAGTTCCTCGATCCGCACCAACACGCTCTCGATCATGTCGAATGTGTGCAGGGCTGAATGCAGAGCCTGCAAGTTAAAGTTCAGTCAGGTCATCACAGCACTCTTCATTAGTGCAGTGAATAAGTGCTATTGTCATGAAACAGCCACTGACCTGAATCTGTGACTCTGATGTCATGTTGGGCAGCTTCTCATCACCGACAGTCACAGAAAGCCCTGACTCCTCTGTAGAAAACATTCACATGATCAAAAGCTTGACTATCACTTTTGAAAACACGGCCATCTCTATGTTTTATGTTGGGGCTGAGCATGTCATACAGGTAATGCTAAAGAATGTGTGTGGATAAATCTGCGTCAGTGTAAGTAAGCGACCTTTGGTCTGACCTTTGGCCTTGCTCTTTGTTTCCTTGGTGTTGTGGAGCTCCCTCTCATAGTGAGCTCTGGACATGTTGAGTCCAACACGTAGAGGCTTCATGAACGTATCTTCTATTTTATACAGCTCTGTCCAGATCCCTGTCTGCAAGATCAAAGCAGCAGCAGACGCATGACGAGCAGTGACTGTGAGTTTTCAAATATCCTTTTCCACGTTTTGAGGGAAACCATATTCACCCTGAGAACTTATAAAATCAACCACTGTTAAGATGTTATTTGCCTATAAGACTTCAGTATACACTGCACTCACCTGGTTCTCTGTCACTTTGTCTCTGATGACCAGGTAACGCAGCAGGTTCAGAGACTCCATCACTCTGAAGAGAACAACACACTGAAGTCACAGTCGGCTTCCTGCCTGTTTCCAGAGCTGTCACCTAGAGCTAGACCAGTAAACCAGCCATTCTCAACTTACTAAAGAGAAACTGGGATCTATACATTAGCTGGCTGGCTTTGTTGTAATTCTGAAACCTCTGTTACATAGTTTGTAACAGCACTAATCAGTTTATTTTACAGCAGTATAAATGCCCTGCCCCATACAGTATGTATCTTGGTCACAATTCTTCAATAACAAATAAATCTAATGGATCATACTTTATGTGCTTAAGACTTTAAAAATGATCACTTGTCAATAGATCATTGAGTGTTTCCCTCTTTATTTACTTATCGTTTATCTTTTAAAGAATTATGTGGAAAAATAATGTACTTATATGCATGGTACTCAATAGAAATGTTTTTCTGAAATGCCAGAGACAACAAAACTGGATAAAATTTGTCATCCACTTAAGGAAAAATGTTTTACTCCAAGGTAAAACACTTAGAAAAAAAATTCTGGCAGTGTGTCACAGCATGAACACGTCAGCTGTATTCATTTCAAAGCAATGACTTCAGTTCATACTTCAGAGATGAACCAGTCAAAACATTAGCTTGAATTTTAAAACCTCTGCACTAAGTAGAAAGAAGCTGGCTGTCATTTTCTTTAAAGGTATTATGTGTTAGGGCATGCTGGGACAGGCTCCAGCTGCCTGTGAGCCTTGGGCAGGGAAAGGGGTTTAGAAAATGAATGGATGGAGTGTCACAGTGTGTGTGTGTACGCTGACCTGTCCAGATACTGCAGGAGGTCGGTCTCTGGGCCGTCTGGCAGACTGAGGGCTTTATGCAGCAGAGGGAGCAGGTGAACTCCCTCAAACCAAGTGTTACTGTGACTCGGCTGAGGACAGACAGAGGCAATACCTTCACCTGGACTGAAAACTCGCTCTACCTTTTAGCTCTTAGTTATGCCTGTGAAAAATGCCAACCAAGCCATGAAGTTTGAAATGTCACCTCACCTGCAGAGCGACATCTATCTGATTCTTGATGTTTTTGATGATGTAGCCCTCGATTCCTGAATGATTACTGGTCTTCAACATGTACCTGAAACAAGATGACCATTAAGACTCTATATGCCGGGGGAGGTGGAACAGAAAGACGCATTTCGTATGAGTTTCACAGAGGAAAGATGGAACTTACTGGAAGAAATGATACTTGGCTTCAGTGTTAAACTTATCAATGCTCATCTGGAACACCTTCAATCCTCTGGTTCTCTGTTGACAAAGAGCAAAAAAATCAAATATCTAAATAATTAATTTTTATCCTGTTTTCAGTCAGAATATAAATTTAAATGAAAAACATGTAGAAGCTACAAACCCAGTGTCTCTGGCATTACAATTACACCTACTGTATATTGATACACTTACTAAACTTAGACTTACTAAATCGTGTCTCGGACATATCGTCATGACCTTCACCAAGCTCTGAAAACAAATGATGACACTGATCACTACACTAGGAGAAACATAGCAGAGTATGAGCTGAGGTTGGAATCAACAACCTGTGGATTACTGTGCTCACTTGAGGGACTGTAAGGAAGGTTTTAATTTCCATCAGATCTGCAGGCAGACTGCCATCCTCCACCCGCATCAGACTCTTCTCATACAGCTCCTGTGGGACAGACAACCACAAATCTAATCTCCAGAATGTCACAGGGATGAAAGCCAATCCCCATCTTTAATTCAGTGTTTCAGGTTGACTCACCAGTGCTTTCTGAATCTTGCTCTGCTCAGTTCTAAGAAAAATAAATAAATGTAAACGGTTAGGACGTGCTCAACATTAATACACAAATAGATTCATCGACCGAGATCTAAGTGCAAACATTAACAGATAAATCCAACTGTATTCATTCAGTGTATACATGCACACATACTGAAGTGGTATATAGCTGCTAATAATACACTATTTAATTAAAGGAAAATAATTTGTCCACCATTGAATCTACAATGGAATGGTTCACAAATAAACATATCCAGGTGTTAGAATGGCCAAGTCAAAGTCCAGACCTGAATCCACTCGAGAATCTGTGGAAAGAACTGAAAACTGCTGTTCACAAATGCTCTCCATCCAACCTCACTGAGCTCGAGCTGTTTTGCAAGGAGGCATGGGCAAAAATTTCAGTCTCTCGATGTGCAAAACTGATAGAGACATACCCCAAGTGACTTACAGCTGTAATCGCAGCAAAAGGTGGCGCTACCAAGTATTAACTTAAGGGGGCTGAATAATTTTGCACGCCCAATTTTTCAGTTTTTTATTTGTTAAAAAAGTTTGAAATATCCAATAAATTTCGTTCCACTTCATGATTGTGTCCCACTTGTTGTTGATTCTTCACAAAAAATTACAGTTTTATATCTTTATGTTTGAAGCCTGAAATGTGGCAAAAGGTCGCAAAGTTCAAGGGGGCCAAATATTTTCGCAAGGCACTGTATATGGCACCTGAATAAGGTGGTTTTAATAGGAACATTTCAATGGCCGATGTGTCAAAATGTTAAAAGTTAAGGAAGATGTTTACTTGTCTATTTGTGTACTTTTTATAGAGTTTATCCAACAGAAATAACACAGTGTATCTTCTGAGATTAAAGGATTTCTAAACTTTCGTAGTGATTGCCAAGCTGTGCCATTATATGTGCTGTTTTATATATTGTTTTATGAAAGCCAACTGATATCAGGACTGCCAAGGGTGCAGCAACACAGAACAGGTATAACAATTTTAATGATGTGTCATGTATTCACCTGGACAGAAGGAGGCAGATGTGTTCCATGTTACAGCGAAGACAAAACACAGGACTGTAAATACATGAATACATGGTGTTAATCATCATCGCAACAATCCAGCCCTCATTCTAACCTACATTTAAAAATCTTTAAATATATTTTATCAGTGGCACCTCATGGTGATAAGTAATTCTCCCATCTTACCTAAAAACATTAGGGAATGTATCTGCAGCCAGGTGATGGACGAACACCAGGTGAGCCAGGCTGGCCAAAGACTCTTTAGGATAGCGCACCTCTTCCTCCAGAAAGCCTGAGACCTGTTTTTTCTTCAGCAGAGGCTGGTACACGAGCCTGGGGAGGGGCTCTCCAATAGCACTGAGGGTGTGCTGTACAAAACAAACACACTACATTTGCACTAAAACATACAGGACAATGTCAGCTCTTCATTTCAAATGATTTTTCAAGCTGCTGTACCAGAATCTCTGTGGCAAAATTCCTGAGGGGAGACAGAGGCAGAGTGTCGGGATCCTGAAGTTGTACCTCCAACAGAGGGTGTCTCAGAGTCTTCATACAGCTGCAGGCCAAACAAATAAAGTACCATGACATAACATACAGTACCAGCTGCAGGCCAAACAAATAAAGTACCGTGACATAACATACAGTACATGTATGTGCAGATATTTTCTATGCTAATCTTAACTTCTCACTCACAACTTCAGCAGTTCTGTCCGCAGCTCATCCTCTTTCTCCCTGTCTTGTCCACCTGTCCTCCCGTCTGTGTTCTCACTCAGCTCTCTGTTGTTCAGGAGGTTTTGCCTGGCCTCTTGCACAAAAGGCCTGACACAGACTAGCAGGTCAGTGCAGCAGCGACAGAGCGAGAAGACGTCATCCTCCTCTTGCTCCTTGGTGTGAGGTAGAGGCAGTTTGGCCACCTGGTCCAGCACGGAGGACAGGGTCATGCCCAAGGATGAGGCTTTACGGCTGCCCAGACACAGCAGCACTGAGAAGATGAGACAGGGTGACAGAGGACATGAAACAGCTGGATGGGGCTGCATTTGAGGACTCTGGTAAAAATATATGCAAGTGCAATAGGAAAAAAAGTTCTTACCTTTCTGTAGAGGGTTCAACAGTAGATGAAGGCTCTCTGCTATGGTGTCAGGGTCATCCTGCTCCAGCTGCTCCAACAGGCCAATCAGCAGCTCTTTGGGTCTGCAGGTCTGGAAAACCGATACCACTCATCACATAAACCATCCACATGTTGCTACAGTGGTGGTTATGTTTGGATTATAAACTGCATCTGTTTCTGATATTCAATACCATATTTTTTGGCCAGTAGTGGACCATTACCAATAGTGTAACTGAGTTCAGAACAGAAGAACAGACCTCTAGCAGGTGGTTGAAAATGGCCAGGCAATGAGGACGGTTCTTGTCTTCTTTCTTGAGCAAAATCTGAATCAGAGGAGGCAGCAGGTTCCAACCCATACATCTCACTATGTCCTATAGGAGGGGGACAGAGAGATGAGCATTATGTAGCGCAATACACTACAGTTTTACAAACAAGTCTTCAGGCTCTGAACAACATACCTGATTCTTTTCATCCAGGACAATACTGAGGACCTGCACGCTGTTTCCCTCCTCTATGCAGGACCTCCCAGCAATCGAGAAGACGCTGTGATCCTCACTGCTGTAGCTTTCCTCTGGGAGTGCTTGCTATGTGAAAGAGAGACAAATAAAGGGGTCCAAAGACAGAAAATACAGACATTTCACTGCAGTCAATTAGTGACGAAACAATTCCAGTTAGTTAAGCTACTAATAATTGACTGTACTCATTCTCAGGGGCTGTATAAAAAGAAAGTTATAGTAAAATAATTAAAATCATATCAGTGAAAACATTTTCATTTCAAAGTAAGGGGATGCAAATGTTTGCACTTAAATGTAAGACAATACAGTTTCACAACAAAGTATATTTAGTAGCTCATAGCCTGTGTGTTCAAGTGCAGAGCCTGTGAAAAGGTTCCACTGCAGCTACTTGTGTGACAAAGAAATGACTCCAATGATTGTGTTAATGTGTTTAGGGAGAAACCTGGCAGGACACAGAAATGTGGTATGGATGGATGGCTGGATGGGTGTCAGGAAGAGGATGTAGTCCCCAAGTCCCCTGAAGGACAGCCTGAACTCACACATCTCTGGATCACATCACTGAACTGCTCCAGAGCCATCCCTGTTGTCCTCAGGCGAGTCTGATCTTCATATAGCAGTCCTCCAAAACAGCATCATTTCAAGTCAAAAGCCTGCACACCATGCTACTCGTAATTATATACGTCAGTGTCTATTCCCAAAACTAGCTGACTGTATTACTTTATCATTTGTATGTAAGGAAACGTGTTAAACTTATGAACAGATATTATGCTTGAGTAAGCAGTAAAACCTGGACAATCTGCTGTCAAGAGAGAAGAGCTGAATGAATGCTAGGGAGTTAGCCTATCCTTTAGACTGAAAATAAGGCTGTTGTTGTTGTCCAAGCTAGCCAAACACAGTCGCCAACACTAAGCACCGTTGGCGAGTATAAATGCGACTAACAGGATGACACCAAGGTAGATACCCACCTTATAAACATGCTATGCCCCAGTGAAAACGAGCATGCTGTCAGCCAAGCGCGCTAACGACTGGAATGTGCTTTTCGGCTTGCCGTAGAACCACAACTTTATACGTCACCGGTCAAAGTTGAAAATCAAAAAACAAATGGAGACGAAGGAGAAAAGAAGGAGCGGAGGCTCGTCTAAACGCCTTAAAAAAGGTTAGCTTTCATTCAGAATTTGTTCTTTTTCCATATGTACATATTAGGCTTTCAGAATGTGTTAACAGCTTGTCAATTCCCAGAACGGAGTTAAAATAGGTTAACATGTTATACAAGAATGGCTTGTATACACTAGTTGTTCATTCACACTGCTTAATAAATGGTACATCCTCTCCCATAGCACAGTGACTTATCTTCAGTGTGAAATATTTAACAGTCATATTAATACTTAACAGTGTTGTTGTTTGTATGGCAGGTGGGAAATGCACCAAAGCACTGACCGACGAAGAAGAGGAAAAAAGGTGTGAAAAGGCATTTGTTTAACTGACTGCGGCAGTTGTATCATTAATATATGGTTAATGTGCAGTTTCACACACTAGTACTTAAGACATCGTAGGTTAGTTGTAGAATTTTTCTTTTACCTGATTTTTATCTTTTTTTTTTCTAGAGATGATTGCAGTAATATGTGAGAAGAAGTGTATGTAAGAACACTGTGTCAAATGCTTGTGTTGCATCCTGTGTCAGGAGAGAGGACTTGAGAGAGAAGCTGAGGGAGAAGTTGGAGCTGGAGAAAAGTTCCCTGAAAGTGGTCGAGCGTCTCCTGGAGGACAGCGTGGCTGCAGACTTCCTGGTGGACTGTGTATGTATCACATGAGTTCAGTTTTTCCAGTTCACAGCTCACCCCTACGTTGTCTAACGTAAATGAGACACCTAGCCAACATGGCTCAAGCTTTGCACCTGTCCAGGGTCTGCAGCCTTTGTAAGTTGTAAAGAGTGATGCCTGTCTGTCAGGAATTCAAACCAGAATGACTTGAAGGGGAAATTTTCTTCCCTTCCTGCCTGACCCAGAGTTATTTCCACCTGTCATATTCTTTGTCTCATCGTTTTTGTTCCACTGTCTAGACTCTCATACTGATCCTGTCACTCAGATGTCTTTTGTGTGACCAACAAAGAATGTTTTTTAAAGAATAGTTTGTTTTGTTTTTAAATGAGATGCATCTATAATCACAAACACGTTTCCTCTCTTTACAGGCAAAGTTCATCACTACAGATAATTACAAAGATGCTGTAGAGGAGAGATTTATTGCTAAACTTTGTGGTTATCCCCTATGCCCGAATAAACTGGGCAAGGTAAGACCCTTTGTATCAGCATTTATAATCCTTTCTGTGAAGCAGATGTTATTTTGTCATGCTTTTGTTCTGTTTTATCATGGCTCAGTTCTTCTGCTCATTTCCAGATCCCTTCTCAACAATATAAAATTTCTACTAAGACCAACAAAGTGTACGACATCACTGAACGCAAGGTGAGTGGCCCTACATAAAGAGTGTTTTGTAGAGTAACCAGGAGGGTTTTATAAAAGTCAGAATAAAGGTAATTACTGCATCTCTCCCTTGTGTTTAGTGTTTTTGCAGTAACTTCTGCTACAAAGCCTCCAAAACATTTGAGCTACAAATATCACCAACACCCCTTTGGCTCAGGCACCATGAGAGGTGTGTGTGCGCCATTCTCGCCTTTGTCTTGAATCACAAATATGAGTTGATCATTGAATATGATTATTTTCTACATACATACATGGATTCAGTGTGTTCATTTCCCTTCTCACTGGTATGAGTTGATCATTGAATATGATTATTATCTACATATGAATACAGTGTGTTCATTTCCCTTCTCACTGACAGCCCTCCAGAAATTACACTGATGAAGAAAAGAGATGGGTATGTACAGTCTAAACTTCAGTTTATAATGGATGCATTTTGCTTTTGAGATGTCTTTGTTTGTAAGTGCAACCATTGTTTATTGATAAAGAAGCAGCCTGATTCAATGTGACTCATGTATGTTCAGTGGGAGCTCTGGTGAGGAGGTGATGCTGTCAAAGAGGTGGCTCCATGAGGAGTATGTAGAGAACCCGCTGGCTACTCTACCCAAAGACCCTCATGGCTCTCAGCTGAGCTCTGCTGTAGCTGACCTCACACACAGTGATGGCAGCGATGTTGAACCGGAGCAGGACTTTGTCTCCAGTGTGGTCTCCCAGAGGCAGGGGCCCAGGGTGCACTGGGGTGACCTGCCTAAACGCACAGATGAAGACAAGAAAGGAGAACGAGGGAAGGAAGAGAGGAGAAAGAAACAGAGGGGAGAAGGAGATGAAGAGGAGACTGAGCATAATCAAAGTCAGGACACAGAAAAGGAGGTAAATGTGAGAGAAGATGAGCAAAGGAAGGAAACGGATGCTGAAAAACCCAGCCAGCTTCATGTAGTGCATACTAACCTGGCACTGCTAGAGGAGAAAGACTTGCTTGAGGAACTGAGTGTGGAGGCTACAGCTCAACTGAAAGTGTGCAGTTTATCTGAGACACTCACTCACAGCACTTCCATGCCTGTTGGCTCAGCAAGCACACAAGCAGAACACACAACTCCGCTCACTCACAACACGACATTACCACAGCAGCCGGGTCTCAACATCACCCAGGCGCATATGAGCAAGAGAGGGGCAGCAAGGCTACGAGACCTGCTCAAGAACCACCCTCCTGCACCCAAACCAGACTCCGTCCAGCTCAACATTCTCGAATGCTTGACAAGAACTTTGAAGGAATGGTGCACTGATGAGACCCTGAAGTTCCTGTATGGCGCAGATCATTCACTGGGCTCTCACTTGGCTCATGTAAGAGAAGAAGAAGGGGAGGTGGAGGAGGAGTTAGATGAAGATGACCTTGAGGATGAGGTGACAGTGGAGGACAGAGGTGGGCTTAATGATGGGGTGCAAAAGAGACCATCAGCTGCTCCACCAGACTACGAGACACTGCACAAGGAGACCCAGCAGCTGGAGCTCAGGGTCAGGGAGTTTTATAAGGGGACCTGGATTCTGTCTGAGGAAGTAGAGGAGCTGAATGGAAACAAGGTGAGTGGAGGGAGGCAGGAGAGGGTTAGTTCGAAGTTCAAGTTCAAAGTTACCACACTGGGGCACTATAGATTTTCCCTCTAACACTTAAACATCTTGGTTGCTCTTCCTCCAGGTGACAGTCCAGGACCAGTGCATGAAGGACCCAGTTCTGCCCCTTGTTGACTCTTGTGCTCAGCACCTCATCCAGAAACGAATCACAGTGGACAAGATCAGCAGCTGGTGTGTCTGGGTGTGTCTGGGTGTGTGTGTGTGTCTGTCTGTCTTTCAGCTATGTGGTTTAACACGTCTTTTCAACTGTTTTGTGTGTTTTACTTTGTGGACACCTAAGTATATGTGTATCCAAAAAACACCTTTTTAGCTTATTTTTGTGCATTTTCAGTGGTGAACCTCCATTAACTGAAGTCATATATATGTCTTTGCAGGTAATTCATTGCTCTGCTAGTTCAGAGATACCAGGTTCAAACTGGTTATGGTATATTAGGAAGTTAAGTGCTTATTAACTTGTGAGCAAAGTGTTAATGGAGCTGCTGGGACCTGGCAGTGTCAGTCTTCACCTTTTGAGGCTTTCAGTTACAGTATAATCAGCTGGAACTCCTTTAGTTCTCCTTAATAGAGTGAATGTATTGCCATTAAAACTTTTAAGTTTTCTGTAGTATTTGACTTTCTTCCTCATGTTTTTTCTGTGTTATGCAGTCTCAGAAACATTGTGGGTTCGTTGCATCTCACCATGAGCAACGTATCAACCGACCTGAATAATCTGGTCAGGACATTCAGGTCAGTGCAGCACACACAGAACTTGCATGCATCCTCCTCTGATGGCATGGCAGTTCACATCAACACATTTAAAGTTTCAAAGTACTAATGTATTAGAACCAGTATAACAGTTTAGAAAGCAGAATGTTGCTTTCATGAGATGGAGATGTACCCCAGCTTTATAATAGCAAATTTTTACAGTTTTTTGATTTGTTGTGCTTATACTTTATTTTTAATTAGTAATGGCAATAATAGCCAGTTTTGCACCATTAGGCCTACAGAAGCTCACGTGTCAGTGAGATATACAGATAAGCCACAATTTAAAGGAAATATTTAGAATGAAATTTTATTTTACATTTGTAATTAACTAGTGAAATTTATTTAAATTCCACAACACTTAGGGAAGATTTGGTTAAGGACTCTGGTGCCCCCTAGAGGTAGGTATGAAACATGACAACAGCAGGAGTTTTATTTTTTCACAGCAGATAGATCTGTCTCACTGCTTTATCTGTAGCTGCGTACGTTACACGCAGTGTTGCACGTTTGTTTTGTGTTAAGGCCCATCATAATTAGGTCTATGCTCAGCTTGACAGTGGCGCTACGCTGTAATTGCATGAGGTCATCATCAATCTTCACCAGCCAATAATAGGCCTTTTCATTTCTTTTTGTCAAAGCACTGGTGTTAATAACATTAAAAATGGCTCTGTTTTATTCAGGGCCCCCAGTAAGCCACGACAATGAGCCAGAAACAGCTACATGGAATTCAGCCATCATTGATTTCATCATTTACACTTGTGTTTTTCCTACATACTAAAACGTCTTCTCCAAACAGGTGCAACAAAACTACAAGAGGGTCAGGCAGGAAGATGTTAATTAGCACAGTCAGTGCAGCTTTTCAGTTAAAAAAAAAAAAAACTTTAACACTTGTGCCCAAGCCGAACACTTCCTGTCGGAGAGGCTTTTGTATTCTTATTGGCTGCTTAGGATGTTTTCAACAGGATTGCTTTTAAATTACTGTGTCGGTGATTTAAAACACACCAGGCAGCAGAGTAACACCTCCTGAGTCCTGCTTCCAGGAATTCTCTCTGTGCTGTCGAGAGACCCTGCTGACAAGAGGCTCAAACCAAAGAATATACACAGAACTGTCAGAGAAACATACATCACTACACTATTGCAGGCAGTGTTTGTGGTGGTTGTGCACATTTCCTAGTTTACTTATCATCAGAAACAAATGATTTTGGACACCTGCTTAAAGAAAAGGTGTCCAAATCAAGAGTTACAGGGGCCAGTGGGGGAAAATGTTACATTGGATGGTGCTCAGTTTGTCTTTTTGAGCATTAAAAGCAAACAAAGGTCTCAGATTTGAATCAGATGTGGCGTTCTTCCTGTTAAGCACCTAAAGCTAACATGTTTGTTTTGGTAGCATAACTGACCTAGCAAGGTCATGATTTTATCTTTCTATTGAATTAATTTCAGACTAATTTGAACTTTGTGTCACATTAATAGTAACCTGAGCATTTTCCTGGCTTTACATATTTACTTGTAAATGAGTTAACGCTAGTGTCAGACCGCTAGTGGCTGAGAAGACAGAGTAGCTTTAAGTTATGACTGACCGTGCTGACCTATTCACTTTGTTTTTGTTTATTTCTCAATATCCCAGATTCACCAACACAAACGTCATCCACAAAACTCCAGAGTGGACCCTCATAGCTGTGGTGCTTCTCCATCTGTAAGTATATCGTGTGTGTTACTGTAGTATTAAGAGGGTTCACTGTGAGCACTGGACAGCCTGCTGCTCAGCTGACCCAGTCGTAGAGGTCAGTAGGGAGAAAGAGGAGAAAAAAATATGAGCAGGAAATTAAGGACCATTGTTTTCCAGGAAATACACCCTGTCACCAAACTCAAAACCAGTGTTTGTGTGTCAGAACATAAAATAGTATGTACTTTACATCAGCTGTGCCTTATAAAGGATAAGGTGCAGGTGTCGTCTTCAGAAAACTGGCAACTAATCCTTTGTACAATAACTGAACATTTTTGCGTATGCAAGACTTAATCAGGTTAAAATGAATTATAATATGCATATTGGAGCTAAAACTATAATATGTAGTTGTTGTGCTGTCTTTCTTTGATGCTATACCTAAATCAAAGCAACACAACATTTTAGCACATCAGTGATTATTAAAAAAAAGAAAAGGAAGCGAACTGTGATGTGGATAGACTTACAGCTTGAAAGACTCGTTCACTGAGAGACACTATATGGTGCGGCATTGTTTAGCCTGTGCCATATGGTGTGTGTGTGTTGCTGGAAGTTCATGGACAGTTCCGTGCTGCTCCCATCTGAGTACACACAGAAGCCTCGTGGCCTTATCGCCACCTGATTGCCTCTCTCAAGATCCGTGATGCAGGACATAAGGCACACACAAGCACTCCTGCACACTTTCATGTTAAATACACACACAATTGTTCTGTGCATACATCTGAGCAAAAAAGAGCACTTTAAATTGTCCCGGCTGGGAAAACTTCCACCTGATGCCGAGCTGAGTGTTTTATGACTCCCTGTGTGGATCCAGGTTATTTGGCATCAGTATCATGACTTAACACTGTGAGCTCTCTTCATTTTAACTAAAGAATATAGTAAGTGTTTTGCAGCTCCAGGTACAGTACGTAACACACATCTATCACTCTTAAAAACAAGGGAGTCATGTCCCTGTAAGCTCTTCCCTGAAACTGTGTTAATTTAACACTAATTAGGTTGTTAAAGTGAGATAACGACAGTGAACCGTGACGTTATTATGGCTATGTTCAGATAAGTGGCATTTTGCAGGTAAATAATGTGAAAGTCTTTGAAAATCCCTGAACTGAAGTGTAGTCTGCGCTGTATTATGTGTGGTTGGTTAAAATAAAATGGATTTGACATAATTATCCTGTGCAAATGTTCAATACTTTTCTGGGAATGAAAAAAAAAAAAAAAAACCCCACAAACCTGAAGAGTTTGGTTGGAGATAAAACGGCTTTCGACGGTGTGGGGAAACAGAAGAGATGAGATGTTTTATCTGTGCGCTGTGACCTGAACTGATAGTAGATATCTGGCCATGTTCACAGCTGTTGCTGCTGAGAGATACACTCCACATCAGAAGTATTTGAACAGTATTTGTTCTTCAGGCTTCAGCACATTGTTTGAAATAAAGCTGCGGATACCACAATAAAGTCGGTTGCATCAATACTGAAAGACCTTCAGTGCACTTTTAACAGTTAGCTTTCATTTTATTTGTCCTAGACAATCAGCGGCTTTGGAAACATTTATTCTCTGTCACATGTTGCATCGATACTCTATGATTTCATTAGTTCCCATTTAACTTCAAGCTTCTCTGTCCTTCCATTCCTCCATCATGAATAATTTGGTGTGCCGTCTTATCTGTCTGCTGCATGGCAGCTGCGGAGCTAGTCTGGCCTCTATTGTTCGAGGCAGCTGAATAATGGATGCCCCCTGCAACATTAGACCCCGGGGTGAACCGGAGATTAACCAGCAGTGCACCTCCACACAGGTAGAGGAGGAGAGAGAGGGGCTTAGAGAATGAAGGAGATCAGCTAGAAGGTTGCACACAGTGAGGGTAAATAGGCTTCCTGTAGAGGGGCTATCTGTACTGATTTGACCGTTAAACTCCAAGTTACTGAAAGCATGATGACTGTACCCTCAGATGCCAGTTTATTAGGTACACCTGGCGTACACACGGTCCAAAACGGTGGCCCCGCATTAGATCCTATGAAGCCTATAGTGCACGGCTTTTGTTGACAGGTTTGCCCATAATATCCAAATCATTTTATATCACATGACAGTTCAACAGCACAAGTATATGAGGAATTTTTTTTTTTTTGAGGATTTACAGCATCTTAAAATATTAAAACATGTATGTAGACTAAGTTCTCTCTCTGCAGTCTGCAGTTTACATGAAGCTGTGAGCAGATATGAATTATACAAAGCACTTTTAGCCCAGTTAATCAGATAACTTTGCTCAGTAAAAAGCAGAACTTCGACATGGACGTGTGTGTGTGTGTGTGTGTGTGTGTGTGTGTGAGATTTACTCAGCAAAGTTGCCCATGTGACCCAGTAGCTGTTTTCATTTTAAACAATGTGAGCCTGACTTATGGCTTAAATAAGAACTTAATGGAGTTTTAATTGTCTAGAGAAGAGGTGCCTTTTCAGTTTTACACCCATCTCTGTAATCACTTTTGAGCTGTGTCCTTGTATGTTTGTCAAACATTTAATTACATTTACTAGTGTGATAATTGTTACCGTCACCCATTGGTAATATTGGTGTGTGGTGCATTAAAGGACTTAATAACAATAATAGTCTTTTCACAGTGTGTTTGTGATTATGCATCATTTTGTCTTTCAGGTTGTCAGAGGTGTCTCCGGTGGTGCAAGAGGCCTTGAAGACGCCGGCATCAGTGGAGTATTTGAGCACACTGATGGATGAGCTGGGTTTACAGGAGCAGGATCTACTGAACCTAGTGCAGCTTTTTAAAACCCCACCACAGTGACACACACACACACACACACACACACACATGGTCAACCATGGCCATGTGAGCAATAAATATAGATTCAGCCTAAGTATGTGGGTATCAGACGTTTTCTGTAATGTGCATTTTCACAAATTCAGTCCCAACACAAACATCTAGGGTGTAGGAGTGGAGGCTGTTGATGCAGCAGCATTACTGTATGCACACAGTCTGTGGTGAGATAGGCACAAATCAGATCTTTGAAGTTTTAGAGCTGTTGTAGTTTAACCTCTGCAAGGCCAAATAAATCACACCCAGCTTTTCCCAGGGAAAACGCCATGTGGACAGGCTGCTTACTGCTTTGCTGGAAAAGCCTCTGCTGTAATAAAAGCGACTTCCTTCACATGCAGGTTTATGGCACCATAATGTCATTTGTTATATGGTTATGATAACAATGCATGTGTCTGAAAATATTTGGTTTTGACCAGATGGCGTGCGCAACAAAACGTTTTTCTGTTTAATCGTGGAGACACAACTCAGCTGTCATGCAGATTGGGGATGTGATTGATTGCCGTGCATGGCTTAACACAGCTTCTCGTTTTTCACAACGTTCAATCAGTGAAAAGTTGATTTCGTTTTCAAAAATGTTCGTGGAGTAAAAACAAAGGATCTAAATTATAAGAAATGCTTTTCAGAATTTTGCAAGCAATTAAATGTAGAAACCTTTAAACCAAACAGCCTATACTTAAAAAGTTAATATTTAATCTCTGACTATAAATATGATAAAGCTGATTTCTACTGTCATGTAACAAAAAAAAAATCAATGCACGGTCTTTTAATGGTCGCGCTTCATTTGGGATACATTCAACTTTAGAAATCACTGTTTTACTTATGCGTTTTAATATTGACAATTAAAACCACTCAATAAATAAACGTTTATTTTCATAAAAATCAACCACAATAATTATAATTAGTTGAATTTAACAGTGGGACAAAGAAATGCCACAAGCCATAAAATAGAATTAAAAAAACACGACAATATGGTCAATGCAGTCAAAGTGCAGGATTTCATCTTAAGACATCGTCTGTTTATTTCAGTCCGTGCAGCGTCTCCTTGTGCCTCCTTAAGTCCACTTTCCTCTGGAAACCTTTCCCGCAGAGGTCACAGCCGAAAGGTTTGAATCCTGTGTGTTTCCTGCTGTGCGTGATGAGGTTGGAGCTCTGGCTGAAGGCCTTCCCGCACACCTGGCACTTGTGCGGCTTCTCACCTGCAGCGGCAAAGAGATCACACACCTGGAAATGTCACTTTGCACTCGGGGCCATTGGTACGTGTGTTCCTGTCGTGTTGTGCAGCGGCTTACCTGTGTGGATGAAAGTGTGTTTCTTCATGTCTGACTTTTGGTGGAACCTCTTCCCGCAGTACTGGCACGGATAAGGCCGCGTGTCCGAGTGGATGAGCAGGTGCGTTGACAGAGTGGAGGAGCGCTTGAAGCTTTTGCCGCAGATTTTACAACTGAAGCTCCTCTCCTAAAAGTATGCAAAGTGTCAACGTGGAAGGCCTCAGGACCTCAGACTGCTCTGCACAAACAGAGTAGCCTGAAAACAGACTGGTGAGGGAGGCCGGATGTGGGCCTGTAGGCCTTTTTACATGGCAGCTCATGCAACAGGCTAGTCTATTTGCAGTTGGGGGCCTACCTGCGAGTGCACCACTCTGTGCTGATCCAGGCTCACTGCGTGTCCAAAGGTTTTCCCGCAGATACCGCACTCAAAGGGCCGCGTCCCGCTGTGTGACCGCCGCACGTGAACCTCCAAGCCGTGAGGAGTGGAGAACACCTGTTAGGAAAGGTACAAGGATAGTACATTCGATTTTTAATAACTCTCGAAATGTCAAAACAAAAATGCGGTGCTATGATAAAAAAAAAGTCGTTTATGGATTTGCCAGTCATTAATGGTTGAAGTGCCATTCATTTTGTACTTGGACATATAAATATGGGCTAATAGTCTTAGTGTTACATCCTGCTCACTAAAACATTTCTGCAAACGCAACCGTGTTGTGGTTCTGGTTAAATACATACCTTGAAACATTTAATGCACTTGTACGGTCCATTTGACTCGAGGTTCGAGCAGACGAAATCATTTTCAGACTTGATTTCCACACTGCGGGGCCTCTGCTTTACATAGAGCTCGTCTGCGTCTCGCATCCTACAGATCTGGTGTGAAGAATAATCCTGGTATCGTCCGGCCACAGGCCCCCGCTGTGCGTAAAGCGGCTCGGTGCCTCTGTCCTCCGCCCCATAGATTCTGACGGGTGAGTCAGGCTCTCTGTGGCCCTGGAGGTGCTGGTACGGGCCCCGAACCAGATGCCTGAGCTCAGAGCTGGCATATGCTGACCAGGAGTAAGGAAAGAGGGGGATGTTGAAGTCGTGACCGTCCTCCGCTTCTGGAGTGGAGCATTTCTCTGAATCTATGCAATAATTTGGATGTAATGTGAGTAAATAGTCTTAGTGATGAGTGCGATCTGCAGATCATGTCTTAAAATTCGTTCATTTGGAAACTGCATGTGGTCTTACTGGAAATGGCAACTTGACAGTCTTAGTGAATTTAGACTACAATAAAGAATCCTGGATCAAAATATTGCACCTTACATAATGTGTATCAAATGGATGTTTGTGTGCAAGTAGGTATAATAACTGAGGGTCAACATGCATGACTTTTTTTCCAGTAAAATCGGTTATCAAATGTAGATTTTAAAAAGTAGGCCTATCAGTTAACTTCATTTTTATTCCAATAGGCACTTATTATACATTCAACTGAGTCAACATAAGCTTGATCTTTGTTCTCCTTAATCTACACTCCAACCGGAGTGTTTACAGCGCCAGTGCTGAAAATAATACAAGGGTTTTACCTACTTAAATAACTGGCACCTGCTGAAAACTACAAGATTTTGATTTATATAAACTCGCTGATCTAACAATCATCATGACTCACGGACAGAGCGTAACACTCTGACTTGGGTGTATTTTAGTACATCTCTCATAGTGGCACAAACAACTGTAGAAAAAACCCCGAATTAAAACATATTTGAGCAGACCTGGTGAGGAAGAAGGAGACAGGGGACGCCAGAAATCACCGTCGGAGGACCGGTCACACACGCTACCTCCGCAGCTCAGCGGGGAGCGGGAGGACAGCGACCCCGGAGAGAGCACCCTAGACCCGGGGGGCAGTCTGTCAGCGCCAGCGCTCACGTCCTCCTGCGACTCCAAGTTGGCCTCAAACACCGCCGGAGAGTCGGTCTCTAATGACAGCCGAGAAAGAACAAGTGAAGTGACTTAATCAGGCTGAATGTGCAACCAGTGTATGTTGTGGGCTTTTTCTAACGTACGATTTCCATTAAGACCAATCATTCTTATTTGTGGCATAAATCAACTAACTGTGTGCGTAATTACGCACAGAGAAACCTACCTGCGCACACTTGAGCCAGAATAGTGTCCAGTCTACTGTAGTCATCATCCAGGCACCGGGGCTGGTGGTAGCTGTGGGCCCGTTTACTCTTCACCAGGAAAGACCTCGGCATGTTTTCTCACTCTCCTTCAGTCTCTGCTGCTGAGTTCTCAGCTCTTTCACTTCACTCCTCTCCACGCTGCTCTGACGGTATCTCTGGACAGATTGGGACACTATTGGTTGACAGCCGAGACTGCGTTGGGATTTTTTTTTTTTTTGGCAGCCTATTACGCATGCGCAGATTGTTTTGTATCGTTTGCCAGGTGTCGCGGGGCTGGTGGCCGAAAGCGGTACCACCGTCCCTACTAGGGGTTCCGGTATGGGATTGAAGAGAATATATTGTAAGTTGTTAATGGTATACTAATGTCGGTAAAAGGTGGCTCAGGCTGGATCAAACAAGAGGGACAAGGAGAAAGAGAGACAAGGAGATTAAATATTTTATGGAGGCTACTATGGTTTGGACTAAATCACGTGGTTGACTCATTTTAAACGAAAGAAGCTGAAATGATGTGCTTATAAGGATATCAAGTAATAGAACGTACAGATAACTGTTGTGAACGCTCTTTAAACATGGCAATAGTTTAAAATAAGTAAAAACCCAGAGTGGATTTTTGCGCAGGCCAGTTAAGAAGGTTGAGATTCATATTAGAACCTTAATCCCCAGTTAATCAAAAATACAATAACATCATCGTTGAATGGATTCAACCCCCTTGATCAAAAAACGGGTTGTTGACTCTAATTTGCATGTGATGAGACCTGAAAACGTGTGTTGCTGGATGGCCCACGCAGGCAGAGGAGGCTGTGATGGATAATGGCCTTTTTGTTTGACCGCTTGTAAAGTGATCCTGTTAATGAGACGCGCGCGGCCGCTCCACACAACAGCCTGCTGGTGGGGAGCCGAAGTATCTCTTTACAGTTACACTGCTTCAGCTTACCCGCACTGACTTCAGCCTTATTGTTTTACATCATTAAAATCCCCTCCCGGCCCATATACAGGCCCGATCAGGCTGTCCGCCGAGAGACACGCAGGGTAGGACGCATAGATGCACCAATAGGGAAGAAGAGGATCCATTAAATCGCCGTGTGGAAAAATGTTTTCAGTACAAATCTGTCAAGCTCAAAATGCAAATCAAGGCCGGACGAAAGCAAAGCGGTATCGATTTTTGCCCAATGTGGGAACAGAGTTTGTTTGATGCAGCTGCAGCAAGTTAGAGACCTGCAAGCACAGCGCAGATAGCGGAGGCGCAAAGCTGAAACACATGTCCTATACTCACACACAGCACTGACACTGCAGGTACTGTCTCGGCACTGTCCTGATCTCTGTCCACATTTAGTCTGAATGTCAAAAAATATCCGCCACAAGCTGCAGAGAGACAAGCCCCCCGCTCCTCACACTGACACACACACTCTCTCTCACGCAACAGGCACACACACACACACACACACACACACACACACTCTCCTCAGTCTTTCTTCCCCGCCCTCTTTGTCTCCAATGTAGCTTGTGTTGACACCATTTCTGGATATTTGCAGTGGATAAAAATCGATCTTGTTGCTTGTTTGAATTGATGTGCTTTCTTCTATCACAGCTGTCCATTCCAGCTTGAAGCTAGATCAGTCTTGTAAAAACAAGATGTTATATTTCTGTGACTTAACTTAAACCACATCTCATATCTGTGATTTCTTGTTTCAGATTCCTCCCGTCACTGCGCTTTAGTTTTACTTCTGGTCTATTTTACTTCCATACAGCTTGGCAACACTGAAATTTTTAGAACAAGTTCCCGCTAACGAGCAGGCAGTGATGATGTCCCACAGCCTGTTCAGTGTGAGATAACGGAACCGGGTTCACCTTTTTGTCTAGTTCATGGTTGCCCAGTCACACTTCCAAAAAAATATTTGGTTATACATTTAAACAAACATTTTCAGTTAAATCACAAGCTGCTGAAAAAGAAAAGAAGAAACACAGCAGTGATGTGACAGTTCAAACTCAGGGTTACGCACTGACTCAGAACAGGAAACCAAACGCAGTCTAGAAGACGCTATCAGTGCTGCCTCTCCCCCCCAGCCCCCCAACCCTTACCCCACAGGCCTTGATTCTCAAAGTGGGGGGGGGGGGTCTTTTCGCAGCTGCACTTGTTTACCTTGTCAAAGGTGAGCATTACAGATGCGTGGGGTTAAATAAAGATTTGTGCTGCTGAGCCATGAGGTTATTTTCTCAAGCTCAACCTTGAGCGAGCTTAGACAGAGACTGTGGGGAGTCTTCATAGTTTTAAATATAGGCTACCTGAGAGTGCAGCTCTCATACCACATGTATGTGAATGTGCACGACAGAGCAGAACGCACAGGTCCACAGGTCTTGATTTTGTCGCTCGGAAGTTCAGTTTAAAGCACGACTGTAACTGTGTCGCCTCTGTGGCTACATGTTAATGATAGCACCAGTAAAGCCAGTTGACAAGTCAGTTAACTTTCCAACTAACAAACTAGTCTGCTAACACATTTCCAACTAACAAACTAGTCTGCTAACACATGCTGCTGCTTAGAACAAGTAATAAGGCTGGAACAGCAAAACCCATGAGCGAATTGAATTTCCTTATTTTAAGAGGGGGGGGGAATGTATTTCTGTTTTCAAAAGTTACATAGTTTTTAGCGAGACAGTGAAAGTGGACAGTACTTGATTTAGCAAAATGTAAATAAAAGCATTTAAAGAGCTATTAGGGAGTTTTCTGCATTGTTGTTTTAAGAAATTCAGATTAGAGAAAGAAATGAAAGCAGTACTCCTTTATGTAAAAACAGATTTTTACTCAGTGTGTTATGAATTAATTAATTATAGCTTACTGTGGGTAAACTGACTTTCCCTGGTTTCTGTCTCGGCTCAGTCCCAGCCACTCAGTCTGAGCGTTCACCTTAGCACCTCCACTCTGCTGTGGCATCTCAGTGAAAACCACATCACGCTATCTCATCCCCTCACAGGTTCCTTTGGCTCCAGAACTCTAACCACAGTGCAAATCCCCCCCCCACCCCCTTTTTATATCTCAGTCCCCTTCTCTCCAGCTACAATCTGATTTTCCTCCTCTTCCTCAGGTTCAACCGCATACAGCCCTACTCCCTGGGAGTGGCCGGACGAATCTCATCGAGCTCTCAGCTGGCACGTCCTGCAGCCACCAGATAGGGACCAGGTCTGAACGCAAGGAATGATTTACTGGATACTAATGACCACAAGATAGTTCTTCTTTCACACTGGAGGTCCACAAACATCCTGTTTTTCTCACTTGGTGTGTGTGTGTTTCTGTTACTGTAAATTGATTTGATTTATATTAATGGGTTTTTTGATTATGATTATTCTGATTTAACTCTGACCTATGCTGTAGAGCCTAAAGATCCTAAAACCTTCACCTTAGGCTCACCGTGGCTACAATTTCTAAGAATAACCCATTGAAAACTGGGGAAAAAACTGTGACAAAAACTGATGCTTGGATTTATGCCGTAAACAGCCCACAAATCACCTCTCTCATCCATCACTTTGATCAGCAGCTCCCCTTGTTTGCAACCAGACCGTTTCTGGTTGTAAATTTTGCTCCAAAATACTAAGAATCTCATTTGGGACGTTGGTGTGAAGACATGCAGAAACCTGCTCGGTGCTTCCTGGTCATTGTGTCTCTGTGAATGTTTAGGGGGTTAGACGGCTGTTTGAAAGGTCAAAGTTCAACAGGCAGAGTCGAGCCTGCATGTTCATGTTTAACGTGTTTACTGTGTTTTGACTCAGTTTTAGGGTTTTTCTTCTTTTAAAATGTAACATTCTGCCCACTTTTGACTCAGTTTTAGGGTTTTTCTTCTGCCTTTAAAATGTAACATTCTGCCCACCGTTTCTGAACTGCTGCAAGTGTCAGTTTCTTTTAGCTGATACTGTGAAATCTGGTCTTGGTCATATGCTCACAGTAAAAACATCCCTCTTGTCTGTTTCTGCATTCTGGGGTGTAAAACTGGCCACATCTTGGAGGAAGAAAAATCCAGGCTGGTCTTTCATGCAGAAACTTCATCTCAGCACCATTGCTGCTGTTTCTTGTACAGCCTATCTAGTGATGAAGCTCTAGTTCCAGCAGAACTGATTTGGTTTTTCTGTGTGCCACTGTATGACTTAACTGTATATTATAACCACACCGAAAATGTTTGAGGAGTTAAAGTGTTGACAGGTTAAAGATGTTACAGATGTGATTGCACCTGTTTTATTTTTTTGATTAAAAGTTGTCTTTGATGCTGTAAACGCCGCTGAGCTTCACAAAGACTCTGTATGCAAAAGAAAATAAATGTGACCAGCAGAGACAGAAAAAGGCAGGAAAGACTAGAGGGTGTTTCTTATCAGTGGTGTGCTGGTAAACACATTTGCTGATGTGTGACTTTCTGCAAGTCATTTGTAGTCTGCTGTAACCTCAGAGTCATTTTTCTTTTAATTTACTTTTGTGATTTTTTGAGAACATGAGTCGAAAACACACAAAACTACCGATGGGTCTCTTTGTGGATATTACATAAGTATGGGTGCAAAATATTTGATGACTCAAACTAAAGTTTAACTTGGAAAATGACCATGACATATGTACAACTAGTATTACCCCTTCACCGCCCACCACACCCTCAACTCCCTGTGTGAACCCTTATTAATCGCCGCTGCTGACGGATGACTGGACAGTTGCTCTTCTTCGTTGTGAAATCAGTTCCGCAGAAACAGACCGTGAACGGCTGCGTAAAAGCAGCCCACAAGTGTGACTTCGACTTTTCTTATCTTATTCTAAGAGCATCTGCATCAAGTGTGACAGTGAGAGATATTATCTTGCTCAAACAGAAAGCAGAAAATCTTGGTTCCTTTTTTGTTCAGTATTTGTCAATAACAAATAGACTGATGGTGATCTATAAGTTCAGCTTTTGATAAAGTCATCTTTAAATGATTATTCCAAAACCCTTAACAAAACCAGTAATTTGGACATTTTTCTGTCTGTAACAAACGTAGGACAATGAACTGTACTGTACTTGTCATTAGTTTAAACTAACATGGTTCCCATATAATAGTTCACACCTAAACTTTTGACCCTGTCTACAAAACATTTTCAGTAGCTTTGAAATCACTGGTGGCAAATAGTTACATATAACCTCAACTACTGTACTTAAGTACAGTTTTGACCTATTTGCTCTGTCCTAAAGGACATCTGGTGCTATTTTAAATTTGTAGTTCTGCTTTTTGGGCAATATGGCTATTTGCTTTCTTGTTTGAGTTAGATGAGAAGATTGGTACCATTCTGAAGCTATTTCCAGCGGCCTGTTAGCGTAGCTTAGCATAAAGACTGGAAACAAAGGAAACAGCTAGTTGTCTCTGTCCAAAGGAAGGAAAGCTCTGGCTCCCAACACCCTCAAGGCTCATAAATGAACAATGTGCTGTTGCTATGTCAAGGAGTAGATTAACATTTCAGGAAATACACTCTTATTTCTTTTCTCTATGAAAATTAGCTGAGTAAACTGATACCACTCATGTGTGTATGCTAAATATGAAACTACAGCCAGCAGACAATTACCTTAGCTTAGACAATGACCCCAGGAGCTCAGCAATTAACTCAGCAACCCTTGCAAAGCCAAACTTGTCAAACTGAACAAAAATTAATATTGCTAACACATTAATTATTGAGCTTGAGAGGTGCTGGTATCTTTGGACACAGCCATGTCAGTTGTTTCCCCATTTCCAGGCTTTATGGGCATCTTTACCTGTTAGGCTAAGTGGCTGCTGATTGTAACTTATGTAACATATTTAACACACAGACATGCGGGTAGGGAATCTTTTCATCTAACTCTCAAGCACATAAGCATATACCCTAAAATATACAACTTAAAGTATAAGATTCTATACTTCTACCATATACATCTGTCATATTTATAGAGAGGAGCCCATATTCAACCTGTTTATAAAGCATTTTCCACACAAAGTTAAAAGGTACTGTACAATGAAATGAAACTAAAAATATGCAAAGAATTTGATTTGATTTGATTTATTCTTTCAGAAGATAAGATAAGAAGGCAAGAAAAAAGAGAAGAACATAATAAATCAAACTGAAAAACAATGGAGATACAGTGGTTCTACTTCACAGACACAATAACAGCACAAAATAAAGTTGCTTTGATTTGATTTGTGCTATGTTGATTGCTCCTCTAAGTGTCAGGTGTTTTAAATTCTTCAACAATCTGTTCCTGATAAAAGGAACTCCTGTCTGTGCTCTCTGAAACCGAATACACTCTTTTCTATGTGCACGAACTCCGAGGCCCTCTCAGTGACACCACCAGTGTGATGATAACTGCTCATATTAATCACAGCAGCATTTCAAGGGTGGGTCAGGAGCAGCACCACTCTGGTGTTTGGGAATAGGAGGCTCAAAAGTGTGAGAGCCATATTACTTTTACTATTGTTACTCATATGACTTTTACTAACAGTGACTAAATGTTAGATCACACGGGTTGTGTCATCAGTGTGTTAGTCAGAGTATTTCATGGCTGTGCTTATACCATGATTTTGCTATAAATAGAGATGTGCAACCAGAGGTGGAATTTATAGCTACTATTGTCATTGTTCTACCATTTTATACATTTCCACTTATATATTATTATATTTATCCACTTAAATATAGATGTTGATGTTATTGTGAGTGTTGAGCACATTGCTTAATCTGCATTGCATCATTTACACTGTCAACACCAGCTTAGTGAACAGTTTATTATGCCATTTTAAAGGTGCATTCATTCAAGCTTTTAGATAAGAGTGATCTTTAGTCACAAGTTTTGCATTCCTTCAGACTTATACAGAATTATCTGCGGACGAAAAACTAAAGACGAGAAAGATCCCAGCATCACTTTACATGCACATTGATATATGAAATTCAAGCTTCTTAATCAAACCCTTCATTTCAATGCTATTACTACTGATAAATTATTCTAATTAATTCAGAGTTCATACAATGGCTTCCATTTTGTTTTTGGATGAATTTTAAACACTTTTATATTTAAGAGGCTTTGTGTATTTATGTCCCCCCCACCCAAAAAATGCAAATATAGTGTATGCCCTCAGTAGAGCATTTAAACCAGAACACAGCTCACTGTGCCAAAATCTAAGGCAAAGACCTGCAGTGAAGCTACTGTCTGTATATGAGCTTTAAAATCAAGTTATCTGCCTAAGGTCATATCTGAGAACAGCAACATCAACTAAGGCCTATTTTAACCTTGCTTTTATTAACTTTATTTGATTATGATAAAGGTGGAAGTGGCTATAGTGATGGTAAATGACTATTATTTACTATTAGTTGTTGATGTTGAATTATTATTGTATTTTAATTGTTGATTTTTTTTGCTTCCAATTTACTTTCTTAGCTGCTGTTAAATTGTTTGCTCCTTTTTGGTTGTAAAACACATTTAGTTTAACTTTTAGCATTTTCATATAAGAAAGGTGCTATATAAAGTTTGTTAGTATTGCCGTTATTCTTACCTGGAAACACTTAATAACCATTTGGGTCTAATTCAGCTCGAGAAATACAGCAACTCTACAGCACAACACAAAATTTATGTCAACATCTTCTCAGCTTGGGCTGTGTATGAACAGATCAAGATCAAAAGATCGAAGATTTTTATTGTTAATTCACTATATGTACAGAAACATCAAAATACTGTTTCTCTCTCACCTAATATTGAATTCCCAGACCACTGAAGAAACTAAAATAGAATAAACACAGAATAAATAGAATATGAAAACTGAATTCAAGTAATAAGGATAAACTAAATGGTACAACCTAATAGGCTATGATGAAACTCAAAGTCATGTGCAAACAGTGACAGTAGTGCAAATAATAATAATCCTTTCCATGACTGTGAGACTGGACACAACAATAACTCCAGTGCAAAAAAATTGTAAATTGTAGATATGACCACTACATATATCAGCTCGTATGTGTACATATATTTATAAATGCTGTCTTTCTTTTCTTCTCATTCATTTCCTATATTTGGTTGCACATATTTCCTACTTGAATGCACACACTGTTTATTCTCATCGTATTGTTTTATTTTTATTCTCACTATTTTTTTCTATTTCCCGTAGCCATACAACACTTTGAGAGCCTCTTTACTGGAGTGAAATTCCAGTATGTTCAAACATACTTGGCCATTAAAGATGATTCTGATTTTGATTTCTGTTTTGCTTTTTGTTGGCATGACTGTGTTTAAGCTTATATAATAAATCAAAATGTGCATATATTTAATTACAGTACAAGTGAAAATTCCCAACTAAATCAGTGTTGGAGGAGACTGAGGCCCTGCAGTCTGTGCCGCTGCTGCCCCCTGGTGGTTCCAGAGTGGTGTTGTCTCCGGTGCAGTAGGGGGCGCTGTTACTGCGGATGTCACCTCCTGTTAAAGCTTCTGCATTTTTGTTTTTGGTTCAGTTTTTAAAGAAAAACGAAATTGATAAGAGAGAGTTTAAGTTATGTTATTAAATACCGATGTAAATGATGATAATTGTCTTAAATGTTTAATTATTATATTTAGGAAAGAGTAATTAAGATTCTTGATCCACACTCCTATCCAGTTGGTGGCGGTAATGCGCCTTTTTTGTTGTTTACCAACCGTCATAAAAGTCCAAGAGGGAAAAGGAAGAAGGTGACTTCGGAGTGCACGGGGAAGAGGAGTAAAGTTTCCATCAAAAATGGTAGGTAAATCGTGCCGATATGTTTCTAGAAATGGCTGTTGGAGTGTGTAGAGCTGTGTTTGATGATAGGAAAGAGTTTCCAGCGGTTTGAGGTTCAGATGGTCGCAGATGTTTGCGGCTGATCGGCCGCATCGGGCCGGTGAGCTGATCTGTTCCAGCGTGGCACTGCATGGCTGATGAAACCTTAGCTGTGTCCTGCAATACTGGACACAATCACCGATCATTTAATAAGTGACTGCAGCACCTTTGTATCACACTGTAAACACTTGACATATAACAGTATTGTTTTGTTAGTATGGCTCTCTTTGGTTTCTAACTGCTCATTTCGTCAGGGTTTCGTCAAAGTGGTGAAGAACAAGGCCTACTTCAGGAGATTCGAAGTCAAATTCAGGAGAAGGAGAGGTACATGGCAGCTTTCACTGTACACCAGCTATGCGGCCAGTATGTTCAGCTCATTTAGTTTCATTATCCACTGTTTGTTCTCAACTTGTCAGAGGGGAAAACTGACTACTACGCCCGCAAGCGCCTGGTTGTGCAGGACAAGAACAAGTACAACACGCCCAAGTACCGACTGATCGTCAGATTCTCCAACAGGGACCTCTGCTGCCAGGTCAGTGATTGCAAGACTCGGCCAATATGTGATGGATCTTGCATTGAAAAGGCCCTGTCTCACCCTGCCCTGTCTGTTCTCTGCAGATTGCCTATGCAAAGGTGGAAGGAGACCATATTGTGTGTGCTGCTTACTCTCACGAGCTCCCCAAATATGGCATCACTGTAGGCCTCACAAACTATGCTGCAGCTTACTGCACCGGGCTGCTGCTGGCTCGCAGGGTAAGACTATGTACACAGAAAGTTGCAGGTGTCAGCAGACACTACATGATTATGACATTTAGATTTGTGCTGAAATATGCAGCAGACACTACATGATTATGACATTTGTGCTGAAATATCAATTTCAGAGGTTTTTCAGATTTATCATCGTATTTCAAAACCAGCAAGTGCAACAGTAAAATGTGTCACCATGTTTCAGATACAGGAACTGACTTCCTCATATTCTTATTTTTGTGCTGTCCTCCTCATTTTAGCTGCTGCACAAGTTTGGCATGGACCAGGTATACGAGGGCCAGGTGGAGGTGACGGGGGATGAATTCAACACAGAGAGTGTCGATGGACAACCGGGTGCCTTTACCTGTTATCTGGATGCAGGCCTGGCCAGGACCACCACAGGAAACAAGGTGTTCGGAGCGCTGAAGGGGGCGGTTGACGGAGGCATAGCCATCCCGCACAGGTCAGGCTGTTTATCCACACTGCAGTGTTTTATGTTATTTTGACCTTTTATTCAACATCACCTCTGCACAGTGTGTGTGTTTTGTTTTTCTTGTTGCATAAAGCCAGTTATTTTTGTACACAGATCACTGACCAGTTTTCAGGCAGCCAAACTTGTCTAGTTTGTGTTTGCTGGTTCTTTCCTGCTTCTTGATGATGATGCTGTGCACGCTGAGCGAAATGTAGTTGGTCCTTCATTTGCATTAGCTGATGTTTACTGTCCTTTTCAAGACGGGGCTGAGAGAAGCGAGATGAACCAAAGCAAACATCTGTCATTGTTTTGTTGTGATTGCAGAAAAAAAAACTTGACAAGATCTCCTTCCTCAGTGTTGTGGAGATGCTGGATTGTCTGACATGATCTCTGCTCTTCGTTGTTTCTAGTCTGAAACGTTTCCCCGGTTACGATGCAGAGACCAAAGAGTTCAATGCAGAGGTGCATCGGAAACACATCATGGGCATGAACGTGGCTGACTACATGTCTTACCTGATGGAGGAGGATGAGGAGGCCTACAAGAAACAATTCTCTCGTTTCATCAAGAATGGAGTCACGCCAGACACAGTAAGATAACCGCTGTTCACCCACAAACACAGACGCGACACTTTGGATTCTGTGGCCATAGTTACAGGTGGGACATCTGACCGGTCAGGTGGATTTGTTTAATACAAGTTATACTTGATCTTGACCATAAAAAATGCTGAAATAGCCGCGGTGGGACTTGTCAGGCCATTTTATCAAACACATGCTGTACGTTGGCCAATAAGCTTTAAGGAACTGCAGGACAGAAATTCCAGGTAATTTAGAAACGATATCTCCAGCAGAGAGCACTGCTGAGTTAATTTCTCAGCAGCAAAGTGTTCCACTCAGTATCTTCACAAAATGTCCAATAACTACATACATTATGGTAAAAAAAAATGGACATTTTCAAGTAGTATGTTGTTCCTGATTCATCTTAACTCGTACGTTATCAGCGTGTACACTATATGATTTCGATAGTAAACGTTACACCTGTGGACTCGCACTGCACTGTCAAGTAGTCCCGCCCTGCAGCTCGGCCTCCGCTGTGGCTCTATCATTAGTGCACGTTTAGATTGGACGTGCCACAGCTACAAAAATGAGGGAGCTGCTGAGTACTGGTTTCTTATAAGTGGCCACAGTTTGAAATATTGCACAAAGCCAAATCCAAACCTACAGTAGGTCTGACCAGAGCTTTAATTGAACTGTTACACACAGTCTAGTCAGCCCTGTAATAGTGAGTCCTAAAACCCCAAACCGAGTTAGTGTTTTTGCACTTCCGGTTCCCTCGTCTCGGAGTCGGTGGGTTTTAGGTTAGATGCCTGAAATAAGGTCTGTGGTTAACACAAGGTCAGAACATTTTCAGGATCTGTTCTGCAACATAATTCAGTAAATACCCTACTTGTGAATTTTTATTCTGTTTCTGTGTGTCTTAAAAAAGCAGCTGCTAAGTGGCTGAATAAGACTACAGAGGTCTGGGATAGCCACTGAACATGGAGTCTCATCTACTCACTCATCTGACTTTACAGCCTCGTTGTGTTTATACTCACTCACTTGAAGCTGTTCTGACACGGCCATGATCAGCAGCTAGATTAGGTCACGCTAGGAGGAAAGCTTTTTTTTTTTTTTTTTTTTAATTGTAGAAGAGGTAAGCACGCAAAATCAGATTACAAGTTGGAAGCCATGGTGGTGGCGATGAAGTCATGGGACCGCGGTGTAGTTCATTTATAGCCTAACAACAGTTTTTTATTTCTGGTGATTGTATCTGGGCTTCAAAAATAAAGTTCGCCTGTGAAGATTATCTTGTGCTATAAACTGATGTTTGTCACAGAGCTTCTTTTCTCCAATAACGTAAAAACCTGCTCTGCATGTCGGATTAGTTTGCCAGTGATTGACTTCTGTACTGGCCGGTGCTTCTCTGCGTCTTGATGATGATGATGATGATGATGATAGAAACCATGCTGAGCAAAATGTAGTTGGTCCTTCATTTGCATTATCTGACGTTTGCTGGTCCTTTTCAAGACGGGGCTGACAGAAGCAGGATGAATCAATACGTGCAGACGGATCTGTCAATTTGGAATATGACTATAAATATATATAATGTTCTTTTTCAGGTAGAAGAAATGTATAAAAAAGCTCACGCTGCCATCAGAGCAAACCCTGTGCACGTAAAGAAACCCAAAAAAGATGTCAAGAAGAAGAGGTGGGTTCCTAATTTCTGTATATTAATCACCTTTTTAAAGCCAGTATTGATGCTATAAAACAGAAGACACAATTGAAGGGTACATTTGTACCAAAATTGTGACAGTGTAGCCCTTTAAATGCCTGCTTCATGTTTTGGATAGTAATTAACATCCGCTCCCTGGCAAAGTATTGAAAAGCTCTACTGGGAAGAACTAAGCTGAGTAGCCCAGCACTTCTGTCTGCTGGTGGGTTGAATGTTAATGGAGCTGTTGTGTCTCGTTCCGGTGCAGGTGGAATCGCGCCAAGTTATCTCTGGCACAGAGGAAGGACCGCATCGCCCAGAAAAAGGCCAGTTTCTTACGAGCACAAGAGCAAGAAGCAGGGGAGGGTTAGCGGCATGGCACAAGGGCCCGCTGCAAAAACACAGCACGCCTCACAGACAAATAAATTTATTTTAAATTCAACTTTGTGTGTGGCTCAGTCAATACTTGGCTTGAAACAGTTGTGGTTTTAAGGGCTTTTTTTCTCCTTATGATTGTTTAAATTACACCCATGGCTAATTTTTACAGCATTAATCTTTAATCCACAAAATGACTCGTAGGATACATTATGGTGTCAGACCCAAACAAAAACCAATTACAGTGAAGTGGTACATTGTTTAATTGTGCAAATTCATGCCATTTCTTCAATAAGTAAACTTTAAAAAATATTTTCACAAACAGAAAAGTCCAACAGCAGCGGTGACCGCAAGCTTTCCAGGTCACGCCTGCTCTGAAATCCATTTAATCTGGTTTGACAAGTTGGGTTGTCAACTCGGTCACCGTTACGTCAAATTAGTGATATCACAGAAAATAGTTCTTGTGTACAGCATTCACGTGACTGGATAAAGATCTCCACCTTCACTGGTGTTAAACATTTCTGTGATGATTTCATGGCACTGTGAGATGAAGTCCAGAAATAACATGATACAGCACATTACTACAAATGTTCTTGTTACTGAAAAAATGCATGTAGAGAACATTCACAGACCAAATGAAACATACAGTGGGTACGGAAAGTATTCAG